TGGAGGAATGGATTTTTTAAGGTTCTTACTTTGCCATTTCAGTGGTTCTCTCCAGAGGTCAGATTTTTGGATGTAGAAGGGGCCTTAGCAAGCAGTTTTTGAAGTCCCCATCGTCCAGGGGGTGAGTGTAGGGGCAGATAGTGGGTCCACCAGGCAGGGAGGCTTAGGTGGCCTGCCCACCCCCTTGATAGCGCTGTGTGCAGGGATCGTGGGCAGAACAGGGCTTTTGCCCCTGACACCTCAGAAGTGCTAGTTGGGTTTGGCCTTTTTGAATCTTGTTCAAAATCTGCCCCAACTGCACATGCAGTTATTTTCATTCCCTTATAGTTTCTTTGTATTCTGTTGCTCAAGGACAAGTTTGTCCAGGTACAAGCGCTGCAGGATAGGGTCCCAAGTTCCAGTGTGTCTCAGGTTCAAGAAGCATTTACCAAGCATCTACTATGTACCAATGAGCCTAGGTGAGCAAGGCACACTCCCTCGTAAAGCTCAGTGTCATTGGCAGATTACATGGAAACAGGAGATGCGAACTTTTGAATAAAATTCTCGGAGAATGGAGGAGGGGTCAACTAACTGGCTGAGACAGTCCAGAAAATGTCACTGAAGAGTTGGCATTTAAACAGGGTCTGCTGGGTGTAATTAGACATTTCTTACAGAAAAGATATATAAAGACAAGAAGATGATAAAGGACCTGGCCTGTGGGTCATTGATAGGACATCAGCAGTTTGACAGGAGAAGTACTAAGAGATGTGACTGAAGAGGTGAGCAGGTGTCAGATCACAAACCACCACGTGCCAGCTAAGGAGCAGGCCACACACATGGCTGTACACGGCCCACCTCTGAGGATGCTGCTCACCTGGACCACCTGTGACGGTGTCCTGGGGGTTGACAAAGGGGCAGCCCCACTGAAGGATTTATAAGAAGCCTGTGGTCAGTAGGCAGGAGAGTATATTGTTCTGTGAACTCTGTGAGGAAAGGATCAAATGGTCTAGAAAAAAAGGTACAGAAATTACTGGAAGCTTCCTCTGAAAAATGATAACAGCATTTCAACTGCAGTTTGGTCTAGTATATGCCAAGCACACTGTTACCTTTTTTAATATATATAGTACATTTATATATAGATAGATTATATATTTAGATAATATAATGTTTATATACTATATGATTTAATATACATATACTGTATTTCTATTATGTATATTTAACCTATATTGAATAAAAATATATATATACACACATATTTGATCATCATAGCACTTAAAATGCAGGTTTATCAGACACTTTAGGATAAATTATGTTGCAGTAACTAACAATTCCTAATCGTAGTGACTCAAGCAAAACAGGTTAATTTTCACATCTCATGTTCACCCTGAATCAGCTATGACTCTGCTTCTTGACTTTGTCTCCTGGGTGTAGGCTGACAGATACTTATCTGGGATGTCACTGGTCTCATGGCAGAGAAGAAAGGAACATGTTGAACTTTGAGCTGGGTCTTAAGCACTCAGAAGT